CACCCCCCCACCCCCTTTTATTCCTCTAGCCAGAGTTTGGATTAATTTGACATTTCCAGCCACTGGAAAAGTCTCAAATTCATAAAACTTGCCCATTCCTTTCCCTTTTAATTCAGTCACTCTCCCCCCCACCCTTCGGAGCCCCAAGTTGAAGCACTTCTTGGTCTGCAAATATAGCAATTATCCCTCATGAGGCTTTGACACGGTTACCACAGGGAAGTGGCCGGAGTGCATCAGCAGTCCAAATATCTAAGCCAGTTAACAAGCTCCTTTTACTTTCCACAGAGCAAGAGAAGAAAGGGGACCATCTGACCCCTGAGAGCTGTTAAAATCAAGGAGCCAGAAAGACTTCTGGTGTTTGTTAAAGAATGCCATCGTTGCAGGGTGATCAAGGTATAATATCTGAACCCCTGACAGATGCCCACAGTTATATTTGACAGGGACAAGGGGTGTGTGTGGGAGAGAGTGTGTGTATGCGTGCGTGTGTGTGTGCATACCCAGGTTTTACAGTTCAGATCGGCTTTCTGTTCTTTGCTAATGAATGGCCACAGTCCACCAGGATGTGTGCTCAACCTCTACCTAGCACAACAGGCTGGCCTTGGCTGTCTCAGTATGGTGGTCAGGAGGGGGATCTTTCTTTGTTTTGTTTGCTTGGAAATTTTCCTCACTTGCCCCAATTTTTCCCCTCAGCTGTGTTTTATTATTTTTTTTCCCAAAAGCCCCCACATGTACCATACAAAAGACATCTAAACTCATTAAGTAAATTCCCAAAGAACCATTAACAAATCATTTTGTGGCAGCCAGAGGTATCAGATTTAATTAGGTGATCGGTGTTGATGAGGTGCAAAACAAAAGCCATCTCCTATCTGAAAATGGCCAGGTCTGATATAGAGGTTTCATTATTCCTCATACAGCATAGACAATAATTGAACTTTATTAAGGATGTGTGTGAGAGAGGAAGCGGGCGGGGGGGAGAGAAGGGATACCCAGATTTGAGACAAAAGCTTTTGACTATATTTTTTTTCCTTTCTCACCAGGTATCTTTGAAAGGCAGTAGAAGAGTGGCTCGTTCACCCCAGTTACAATGAAGGAAGCTATAACCTACATTGGGAACAGAATATAAAGCAGTTCTAACAAGCATAATTTTTTGCAAGCAATTAATCAAAATGTATTTAGCAAGTCATTTCCAATGATAATCAACAGACCTGCTTAAAACAATAACCATTTGGCAATGACAACACTGTTCGTTCTGATGTAAGTGGGCTTTGATGCTTGAAATAAAACACAGTGTTTCCAAGTGACTGAAGTTTTTAACATGATGAATTATCTGACCAAGAAAATGCCATTACATGGCTCCAGGATTAAATATATCACCTTCAGTTCTTATATACCACAATACGTTCAAGAATCACAGGGCTGCAAAGGGTTGTTAGTTTCTTCTGTGCAAAATATTCTGTGCACCTTATTTTCAACAACTGTGCTTTTCAACATGATTTCTCTGTATTAGAAATCATTAACTAGACACTCAGTAGCTGATTAGTATGGGATTGGATGTTTCTTCCTCCCTCCAAAGAGATTCCACACACAAATGTATGATTGCCATACTCAGGAAAAAAATAACTTATCACACCTCTAAATTGAGAAGCTAAGAGTGGATTCACTGTTGCTAACTCTTTTTAGTACTGGACAAAGCTTGTGTAAAATTGCATTAACATGGGATAAAAAATCTAAGCTGAGGAAGAATACCATCATATTCAGTAAGACTCATTTCTGAGTAAATATGCATCAGATTGAACCCCATGCATTTTTCCCTTTCCTGATTCTGCATTATAATTAGTTTACTTTTTTAATGTTCCCTTCCTTCTTTATTTTTCCTTGCCTTTCTCAGCCCACTAATTGGCAGTGAAGGAGCAACGTATACATTAAAGTAAAATAACAAAAGAGAACGATATGCCCCCTTCATTGAGTGCAAGTGCTTGATATCAAAATTGTCACCAAATAAAGTTTTTCAGAATAAGTCACAGAAGCATTTTATACAATAATTATAGAAAAGAATCAGTCTAATTCTGGTATGAATGTTGGAACAAATACTGCATCCTAAAGCTTCCTTTGATGTTAGATCAGAATTTATGCCCAGCAAAACTGATGCAAATGGTTTCAGCTATAAATACATTGTCCTTTTTCCCCCCCTTTCTTTCACTTTGAGGAGGAGGGTATAGATATGAAATTCCAGCATGGAATTGAAAGCATGTTGGTGTTCAGAAAGAGTAGTAGTAATAGTAGTAGTAGTAGTAGTAGTAGTAGTAGTAATAATAATAATAATAATAATAATAATAATATAAAAAATTGGTATGGAAGGTTGCAACAGTAGAAAAGAGATGTTAAGGGGGCCAGGCCAACATATAGTTAAGGTCAAAGCAAACATAAAACATAGCATTTCCCTTTCAGGGGAGGGCTGGAATGTGGGGGGAAGAAAGATTTGTCCGCCAACAGGTTGCATCCTAGACCTGATTTTTTTTTTATTGGTCTGCCCCTATTATCTGCAGGGTATACAATGGAATACTGTCTGCCATTGTGCAATAACTCTCAGCACTAGTAATTTAAGACTTTCTTCTCTGTAATACACTAAACCATCATAACCTGTCTCTTCCTATTTAGTTTAACCTACAACCACCACATACTGATTTGGCTGTGTGTGGCTTTCTCTATTGCCATTTATTACTCTGCTCGACTCCTGAAATTCTGTTTGCAATTTAAGGCCACAAATTAGAAGCGCAAGTCATCTGTTTCCTATAATCCTCCTGTCAGGGCTGGAATCACATTTGGAGCTCAGCACCATGGCTAGTCCTGGGCCCTTAAAGCCTCACTGATTGGTTAAGCAGGCCAGGAGCTGAATGCTGAATAAATAAAATGCAGTTCACTGAAGTGCACAGGAAAAAGAAAGAAAGAAAAAGAAAGAAAGAAAGAAAGAAAGAAAGAAAGAAAGAAAGAAAG